CAAGCACTCAACACTACACACTGGCAAATTTCACCCCATGCCAACAACATAACATTTACACTCCAGGGCCAAAAGCAGTGGACTTACAGAGGGGTGTAACCAACACTTGTTTTTATTATTGATTAATCAGCTGACATTTTGTTTGATCCTTTGGTCTATGAAAAATCGAAAAATGTGAGAAATACTTGTCACAACTTCTTAAAGCCCTGGTGGCAGTATTAATTGACTAATCCATTAAATGACCAATCACTGAAGCTCCAGACATGGGCATTAATAAGCTGCTATAACAGCTCCCACCATTGTAAGAAGGCCTCCCTTCAGATTTTGGAATGTGATTGCACAGTTCTGCTTTCATTTAGCTACAGGAGCATCAGTGAGGTCAAGCACTGATGTTGACTTCTGGCTCAATGATGCTAAGGCCTGATGCACACCAAGATTATGTATGGTCATGACCATATCCAAATGGGGAAGTGTGCATCCTACAAAACTACATTTTCACATTTTGGGTATTTTGTGGGCTAATTTTCTAATTATGAATTCAATCAAAATTCGAGCAGAATTGTATTCCTGGTGATGTGGAAGATAGTTTTAAAACAGCATCTTGATCTTTATATTGGGAAATTAAATTGGCAGAAAATATGTTTTAAAAGAATACCCAGGAATCATTTCCAAACAACTGGGGTGTCCTGGTGGCTTTGGCATTATAAAAAGTACACAAAGCTGTATGGACAGATAATTTTAGCCATATAGTGTTCCTGTCATGGTATGTTGCTGAAGCTAAACGATACTTACCAGTAACTGTGACACACAGCAGAAGAACAAACACCATATCCATGCCGATAGAAAATTTTAAACACACACCCAAACAAACACACACTATACCAAACCCTCACTTACAGACTTAACAAAAAAGCTACATCTCTCGCTGCAGAAACCTAAACAGGACTGCAAATGAAAAGATTCAAATGACTACCCATTTTCGATAACATCCTTTTCCATTATGAATATACTGCTGCCCCTTAAGATAAACACAGGGAGAGGCTCGCTCTGAGGAAAAGAGCATTAAGTAAGTGAAAGCTGAGCTGATGGTTATGGGTGCAGGGCGTGAAATGTGAAGGATGTCCAACAGATAAAAGAACAAGGAGAGAAAGAGAGAGGAATTAACATGAAACAGAGAAAGAACAAATGAAAAAAGGGTATGAGGTTTACAAGTTGTGCTCTTTTGGTTCAGGGAACACAAGAAGTCTACTTCAGCAAAGTGGGGCAGCAACAAAGACAAGATGAGACAAAAAGAGAGGCCAGTTAGCAGCCAAATGGGGAAAAAAACCGAAGGGGAACTGGACAGAGAGACAGAGAGAGATAGTGAAAGGTACTGTATTTACCAGAATGTTAGGGACCACTCAGCCAGTGGAAGTGGAGGAGAGATTGTGACTCTGAGCCCTGGGATTGTCTGCTTCTCTCTGGAAGGGTGCGGAGCCTAGCTTATGGGCCATCACTTTTAAGGGTTAACAGGGAGGGAAGGAGGTTGGGAATATTGTGTTACAGAGGAGTTGGAGTAGGGTACACAAAGGAGATAGAAAGGATTAAGGAAAAGATGAACATTGCGAAAGAAGAGAGGAGAGCATGGGTACCAATAAAGAGGGACAATTCATCAGAACACAACAGAGAGGCAGCACAAGCATAAAGAAAGAGACACACAGACTAAGAAACACTGAAGTAAACCCGAGCAAATGTCAATATGCATGTCGAGTATGCACAGTTAATGAACAGTGGTTCAGACAAAGATAATACTACTTAGCTACAGTTTGGTGACCTTTGTAACGTAACTGGATTCAGTGGTTGACTGGACTACCTACTTTATCAGTTATGACGGGGCTTTGTCTAAAGCTTGAAGGCTTTAAAGTAAATTAGCATCTCTCAACATCAAAATGTTAAATGAATATGCAAGTCATTATTACACTGTAACTACAGCATCTATGTTTAAATCTGATGGTAATTTTAGCAGTGTTGATATTTGGAAAAACCTTCAGCTGTATAGCTCCCTGTTAATTACTGTATACGCCCAAGTATGTTTAATTTGCTGTTTTAGTTCCTGTAGAAAAAAACGCAGAATGAATTTGTGTCTTCACTGAAGAATTGTTCCCTCACTGTCTATTTGAGTACATAAATCAGTGATGGCCAAGTATATTCTTTCTTTAATAAAACCAGGCTAAGAATCAAAAGCCACGCTAGCAGCTCTGTTGCTGGGTTGTACTTAGGCACAGTGCTGCTTTAAGTTTGTGCTAACATGCTGTTATTTAGCAGGTACCATGGTCACCATTGTGGTGTATGGTAACCTTTGCTAATTAGACATGAATGTCTGTTCCAATCCTCATGGCCTTTTCATCTGATAAGACATATCATATGTTAACAACATGACAGTGCTAATGGAAAAGGCATTCAGCAATGTTAAGACTTAAAAACAACAATGTCGGAGATTTACGTCACCCAGGTTTTTTCCTATATTCAGCATCTCTTTAGGGTGTATTAATTACAGTAGCTGTTGTACATTTTGGGAGTTGGGGATCTGTATGCAGTGAAGGCATAAACCGAGTGACAGACTGGGAAACTGTATGTGACACATAAGACCACACACTGGCATGAGAGATGACATAAAGCAAAGATCTAGACAAACAGATAAAAGAGAGACAAGGAAGAGGATAGCGAGCAAGACCTATCATATTCCCATCAATATTTCCTCATTTACAGTTTTTCCCACCATTTTTCTCTCCTCGAGGACTTACTTGACTCTGGGTAGACTGAGGATCTCTTTCCTGGATCTTTCTGGAGCTGAATGCCTTTCACAGAAAAGATGGATGCAGCTGAAAACAACAGAGGGTTAGTGAGACAGTGTTTGTGAATGACATGGGTATGTTCGGCAAGTTGGCTTGTAAGTACTCACTGTCAGCTAGTGTTTGAACCTGCTCGCCAAGACTTTTAAAATATGAGTGTCTGAGAGCATCCTCGGCCGATACACGCTTCTTAGCATCAAACTAGAGACAAAGAGATAGTATTGTTAGCTTTTTATCTAATACTTTAGGAATACATATCTTAAAATGAACTGTATAAAGTAATGCCATTTACCTGTAGAAGCACTGAGAGCAAGTCAAGACCATCAGTGTCTATCCTGTGTAACAACAAAACAAATGAGAAAGCAAGAGAGAGGAAGAACTGACTTTCAGTGAAGTCAAATGTTGACATAAGCCGTTCAGAAGACTGGAACGTTACTGCCAGTTCAACAGAGGCAGAAAAGCTTGACTGCAGTTCCTCTTGAAAATCAATCTTGCATCTTGTGTTATTATATCTATTACATCACAGTCATTTCATCTACATACACATGCATCCATGGCATCCACACATACATCTGCCCAAATCTACACACCTGGGTGCGTGGTTGACAAGGGGTTCTGCATGGTATCGAGGGAAACTGTACGTCTTAAACTCTTCACTAGTAGCGATAATGGGCCAAGTCTCTTCTGTAGGAGTACCTGTTGAAGAAAAAGAAGATCAGTCAGGTCACACAGAGTGCACACACGCATAAAAGTCACACAAACACAAGCTCATTAGTGTTCTACTTGTGTTCTCTTACCAAGGATGCGGAATATGAGGTGAAGCTCATCCTCCACAGTTGACCCAGGGAAGAGAGGTCTACCCGTGATCATTTCATAAAAGATACAGCCCACACCCCTGGACAAAGGGAGAGATACAGTGGATTAAGCAAACACAAATTTATGCAAAATACAACACGTGTATCATCTACGCAGGCTGTGACTTGTGACATTAATACACATTTATATAGTTATCATCTCATGAAGCAACATGACAGTGTTACATATCCTAAAATTGTACTATAGTATTTAGTTGTACTGAGTTCAATAGACAGTCCTGTTGCAAAAAGGAGTTCATAGCTATTTAAATGCAGGTTCAAGAAAATACAGCTTGAGCGAAAACAAAGTCTGCTTTTAAATAAGTTCTATGAAGTGTGTATCAAAAATTAAATGACGAGTGCTCACATGCTTAACAAATAGTGTTAAATGTTGTTCTGTCAATGAAACAAGGCAAACTACCCAAAACTATGAGTTCTGTCTAATCAGTCCTTTAAATACTGTAAAAGGTATTATATCACACAATATACTATCAAATGTAAGATACCCATCCGAAGCAAAATAACTAAAAGACTAATTCCAAATCTACTGTATGTAAAAACAAAAATACAATCAAATAAGCACATCAAAAATTAAATGTGTTAAAAGACTCAACTGCATCTTCAATTTCCTCTCAATCCTATGTGTAAATGTTGTGCCTTAGCTGTGAGCTGCAGTATGATGAGTTTCAAAGCATCAATAGTAACAAGAAAATGTGGAGATTTGGGGATTATCAGAAGCACTTCAGATAAAGACAAGTAAGGAAAGGATATAAAGTAATACACAAATAAACAGGTAGGGATACTGTGTTTTTTTTTTTTTTTACTCAAACTGTGTGTATTGTTTGTAGATGTGTATTTGCTCACCACATGTCAATAGGTGTAGAGTACTCAGTGGAGCCTAGAAGCACATCTGGTGGCCGGTACCATAACGTCACAACTTCATTCGAGTAGGTCTTCGTGGGGACAGACTTGGCTCGTGCCAAACCTGGTTTTACACACAAGAAGGCACACTAAATTTTGGAACTGTTGACTTACTTGTTAATCATGTTGTGGGGTACCACAGGTGAACAAGACAAAACATCCTATAAGAGCTTATCATACCAGAATTAAACTTCACATGCTGAGTAAGAGTTGTACTTTATATTTATGTAATAATTTTAGTCCAGGTTTCTGTTCAACTACATAAATATACTCTGGAATTAATGAGAAATTTAGAAAGAGGGACCACACAAGCACTAGGGTATGTAACTGTATGTCATGCTTCTATTTCTCCTAATGAGGGCAGTGGTGAGCTGTTAGTCAACAGCAGTATGGCCTCTAGTGGCCACTAGTGGGGCTTTCAGACTTGTACCATCCATCCATCCATCCATTATTTATACTGCTTATCCTAACAAGGGCCATGGGGGGGCTGGAGCCAATCCCAGCTGACATTGGGCGAGAGGCGGGGTCCACCCTGGACAGGTCACCAGTCTATCACAGGGCAACACACTCATACCATATGTTTTATACAGAAAAACAAATGGATATGTAGTGGTTAGCAATAAACCAGATTCCAGAGGTAATATGTAATAGAACAGTATGTAGTTCATATTTAGATAATATTTGTGTTAGTTGTGTAAGGATGTAAGGCTGAGCTCAGTGTGTACGGAAGCTTGATCTGTCTCTGGCGCAGGCAAGAATATCTTGGGCTGTGTCCCTTGTTTAGCCTAGGGGTCAACATCCTGAGTGACTTCCTCCTCAGATAGGGAATGGATATACCGTATTTTCCGGACTATAAGTCGCTCCTGAGTATACGTCGCACCAGCCAAAAAATGCATAATGAAGAAGAAAAAAACATATATAAGTCGCACTTTTTGGGGGAAATTTATTTCATAAAATCAGAGACCAAGAACATACATTTCATCTTAAAAGGCAAGTTATCTTAATAACAATAAAATGGAGAACAACAGGCTGAATATGCGCTTATGCTTTATCTATCACATTGCAGGAGGAGAGTCTCTGTTCTCTGATCTCTGTTATCTGTTCCCTACCTACAAGATTATCTGTTTAAATACTGCTCTATTCAGAGTAATTGTAATATTAAATGATCCTTTAAATTGGGATGGTTTGTCTGAATTAATTTAGTTAGCATCACACTCTAGCCACGACAGATAAAAGGCAGATTTTTTTTTAATCACTCTGTAAATTTCTTGCTGAGTGTGGCTGGTCCTTGTGTCTAGCTCTGAACATTTTGCTTTGAAAACTATTTGTTAGTGAGGGAACATCAGGCAAATGTCACAACTCTCCATGTCAAAATCACGATCTTCATCTGTTCTACCTCTACTCTCTGAGCATCTGAAATGTCAAACCAGCATAGAAAGCTTTAAGACAATTAACAAGACTGATGATGTGACTCTAGTGAAAGTGCTGCTCTACCAAAGTCTGCCAGTTTGAGCTCTCCCTTTTCATTGATGAGAAGGTTCTGGGGTTTAAGGTCTCTGTGGAGGACCTTCCTTCTGTGGCAGTATGCCAGACCTCGCAACAGCTGGAACAGAAAGATCTGAAGAGGAAAGGACATTAGAATACATTTTTGTTACATGCTTTATATTACATTAGGCCAGTAATTAGATAAACAAGTAATCTGTTTTTACAGCAAAAATTGTGTGTGGCATTTTACAACACTGTGATCAAGAACAGCATTTTCATTTATCACTAAGAGTGCTGCCACTATGTCAAATATAAGTCATGGTGAATGCTTTAACTAGAAAGTGTTCTGTAAATAAATCGTTGAAAATATGATAACATTCAACAGCAATTCTTCATTACTATCTGAACATTTTTGTCTGGATTACCTTGACATTGTGAACACTCATAATGTTCCCACAGTCATCCATATACTGCTTCAGGTCTTTTTCCTGATGAGACAAAAAGAAAGAAAAATAGATGAATTTTAGATATTTAGGAAAGTATTATGTGTCCTTTAAAGACATGCACACAACACACAGTATACAGTATATAGACACTCACCAGGTATTCAAACACCAGTGTCAGGCACTTGTCAGTGTGAATAATGTCATGGAGAGTGACAATATTGGCATGCTTCAAGTCTTTCAGTAGAGACACTAGGAGAGGGAGACACATCAGACACTGTTAAACACAACAGACAAACACTTGTGAGAACTACAAGAGTTTGTAGTTCAAGAAGCTACAAGACACTACATATTAGCAGCGACTATAGATCCCAAACACATTGAGGAAAAGTTTCTTGACTATAAGGTTCTATGTTGATGTGTAAGATGTCCCACTTTCAAATCACATAATTAAACATTTTAACAGCAGTTCAGTACCTTCTCGAATAGCTGTGCAGGGTGCGCCCTCTTCATGCTCCAGCCGAATCTCCTTCAGAGCGACTAGGTTGTCTGTTAACTTGCTTCGCCCCTTAAACACCGTAGCATAGGTGCCCTGCAGAGATGGAAAGCATATGATATGGCTGCGTCTGTGAAACAAAGCATACTGAAAACTGGAGGAGTTTCTTCTATTTTCTATTTTCTTTATGGAGCTCACCTCCCCTAGTTTGTCCAGTTTGATGTAGGTCTCCAGTTTCCCAAAACCGATTTCAGACTGGAGAGAACAGAAAGAAAACAGCTGAGCACTATCAATGTGCAACATCACTAAGCCAGTGTCTATACATGTTGACTATAGTCAGGCTGTAGGTCAGGCTACATGTAAGATAACTATATCTAGAATCAAACTGTCCAGGCCCAGAGTTCAGTCCCATGGCCGGTGACATTCTTCCTCATGTTTGTGTGCCTGGGCTTAAACATTTGCTTGCTTTCTCCAACACAACAGTATGTTACTTAACAAAGTGTCTTTTTCAACACAGGTGTGCATATCATATTTTTCTGTGGGAGAGCACTACATAAATGCATGTGCATCATACCTAGTAAATGCAGTACAATTAAAAATAGGACCTACTGTGTGTGTGTGTGTGTGTGTGTGTGTGTGTCTGTATCTATGACACTGATATTTAATGTTCTGGTTGTCTATGCCATCGGACATCATTCATAACCACATACATTCCATCACTTGTATACACACACAGATACACACATACTTGTGTCTCACGGTGAGTAGGAAAAGGTGTTTGTTGGCCTAATATGAACAAAATGCCATTCCTCCAGAGTGCCTCCTCTCTGCTTTTCTTAATGCTACAAAGTGACATCATTGTCAACTGCATGTATATTTTTTTGGCCAAAGCAAATCAGTATAACAAAGACAAGTGTTTATGACATGGACACTTCCACTCCACACAACCTATCCAATGAGCATACTTCACATCTGTGTGTGCATACTGAATTCTGAATTAATCTTGAATTCAGTTAATAAAAGCTGCATAATGTATGTGGCCCCTGGGCTTCCAGGTCATGAATTATAGATGGGTTTAGCTACAGTATGTCAAGCTGTGATACCAACAGGCCTGTCTCTCTGTTGCTTTTCCTCACTTATTTTTTTTTCTCTCTCTCTCCCTCAGGGTTGCTGCAGCCCTGTTTTATCTGTGTTCATAACTGTGAACCTACACATCTCTCTTAGTCTTGTGCTGGCTTGTGCCATCATGATGCTAATATGAGTGCCAGAACAATACTCAGCTATGCATGTTTATATGTGTGTATGAGGGGGAGGGTCTCCAGTGACCAAGTTAGCTGATGAAGCATGTCATCTCCTTAAGTGCATGCTTGAAAGCCAACATCAGAAAAAGCTTGGACACAAAGATGACACAGACACCAAAACAAGTGTTTATGTGCATGGGTATGCACAAACTGCAATTTGTATTATTAATTAAAAGGCCAAATTATATCAATATATAAGAAAAATAAGAGAATTAAAATATTAAAGTAATTTTAAAAAGAGCAGAATGAAAACTTTTTTCATATACTGTAAAAACTGCAAATATACTGTATGTTTGCATATTATGTGCAGGGACATATATTGTATGTATTTGACTGTATGTGCCTATAGGCAAGAAGATTTACTATATGCACAAGACAGGCAGCCCTTGCTCCTGTGTAAACACACTCACACTGCACATGCTGTTCCCATGGCTGCATTTGTGACAGTGGCTGTCAGGAGCTGTTGCTGATCTGTGCTGCTCTTTTGGCGGGGGAGTCAGTCTCATGAGCAAAACACACACAATGGCATATACACAGACATTCATAAACACATATATAATCACCATGTGATCCCATGCCACCTCAGCTGCACTAAATAAATCTGCAGTTCTCACCTTTTTGTCTCTAAAACAAAGAAAAGCCCAGCCCTTTACCCCCAAGCCCATTCTCTGCTTACAGCATGTAACCTTACTCTCTGTCAATGTACCTTACAGTCATTTTTGTATATGTGTGTTTGTGCCTGCATATGCTTTTGATGGCAATGGGTTCATTTCATTCCCAACGCTCCAGTGAGCTTACTCAGCAGAACTAGGTTAGAGCAAGTTTTAGTGATAAAATTAAAGCAACATACAAGCAAACAAAACATGTGTTCTGTCTGAGCCTGCACAGGATCTGAGGAGACATACAATACGAACTGACATCAGGTTAAGAAATGCGAGAAGAGGGGGGGTGTCTGCAGCTGGGATCAAATGTGTATTGATAAGAAAGTCCATTATCTCGACCGCATTTCATTTTTAATTAGAGTTTCTCTATGTGTCTGCCAGAAAGAAAGCTTGAAGGGGAGAGGGAGGATGGACTAAAAGTACTGAGTGGGAGAAGGAAAATGACAGCCTTCTGCTAAGAAAAGAGGTGGCAAGCAAGGGGAGGTGGGAGGAAAAGAAGAGCCCTTTCACTAACATGATGTAGCTAGTCATCAGGACTTCAAGCCAATAAACATCTTGTCACCTTTTTCATGTAAACCCACAGCAACAGAAGGAGTGGACTGACACTTGAGCTCTGTTATAACTGTTTTGTTTTCATCATTTTAAAACAACAGCACAATGCTCTAACAATAGCCAGAAATAACCAAGTGTGGCACAAACTGTAAATTGGTGTCTTGCCTACATTCAGTGTTGTAGTTTATTATCCTGTCACTGTGGGGCTGAATGGGTTAGAAAGAAGTGAGTGTTGCATAAGTTACAGTTGTACAGTTAAGTGTTGTGGTTTGAGATAAAAAGGCACCTCTTTCCTCAGCACCATGGAACACTGAATCTCATTGAACTGCTGTGAATAATTGATTATCAATGAGCAGCAGTCTTGAGAGAAAACTGATACCAACCAACTTTACTTGCATTACACTGGAAGCGATTCAAAGATCAAAATACACAGTTTCAAATGTGAACATCTGTTATGAGACACCCGACACATGTTCTATGTTACGGTAACAAGCACATTGACAGCCCAAAAGCCATTACATCAGTGAGCCCGGAAGCTACTGCTATATTTAATCTTAGATTCCTTCAGAAAAAAACTGTGACTGAGGAAGCACACAAGTTCCTTTGTGGTATAACTAAATATACATTCATATTTGGGGAAACTGGGGAATAAAGACATAATTTATCCTTCATTTTGTGTGCAAACATTATTAACATGGTCTCGAATTTGACACATCAAACCTCTTGTCCATTCCAGCAACAGGTGCTCAACTGGCCTAAAAGTTAAAGTCAGTGAGGAAGGTATTTAAAGTCATAACCTAATTAACCCTGAGACTCCAGCTGAGACAAAGCAGGAGGAAAACATACTGAGTGCAGTGTGCTGTGCAGTCAAAAACATTGTTTTTGCTTGGTTGCACCATACTAAACTAAGTAAACAACATTAGCTATTCTAATATAAATTGTAGCTGTGCTGTAGCTTCCTACAGCAATCTAGTACAAACTGCTTTTACCCTTCATCTCAGAAGTCATTTGTCTTCTTCCTCTACATATTTGTTTATCATTGTTTTCAACATCTTACCACTTTTCTAACCATTTGTTCCCTCAGTATTAACTTGTCATCTCTTTGTGTCTTTCCCTCTCTCTTCCTTGCTCTCTGACTCACTGTCCTGTGGTGTAATCCTATGTCAGAGGAGAAGCTGCAGCAGATGAGTCTGACACTGCTGCTGAATTATTGATTGATCTATTACACTGCGTACAAAAACCCCAAAGATGCACACCCACGCACAAGTGGAAAGACCAAAGCATGCCAGAAAATGTCTGCAACTCATTTAACGAGACACATTTCTGCAGACTATCCTCTTCTTCTGATCCACTGTTGCACCATAAATATCTCTTGTTCTCTGCAAACCTCCATTACAAAATTCTTTCCTTTCATCTCTGTGAGACTCCTACAAAAAAAGCTGCATCATTAGATCGTTTCAAGCAGAGAACTGGAGGCAGGGCACCGGCCCTGTTCAATAATTACAGCAAAAATGGTTGATGGAGGACAAATCTTTTATGCGCTCCCGTAGAATGTCCAGGCTTCCGATAATAGTGTTTAAAGTTAAATGGATCAGTAGAGCAGACTGAATCCAATTGTAAAAAAGAATGAGCCTGCAGAGAGAATGAGACAAAAAGAGAGCAGTCTGATTCTCCTTTACTGTGTAATGTATGAAAGTAAACTTGAAATTTTAGTGTTGGCAGAAACAAAAGATCAATGTAAAGTGTAACTAAAATAAACACCAAGTGAAACAGCCAGAGTCCCGCGTCAGCAATACAAAGGGGTATAAAGGGACAAGCTGCATAATCATGAATATCTGGCTATTTCTACCCATCACACCCAATTCTATCCATCCAGTTGTAAACCCTTCCTCTTTCTCCTACCCCCAGTTTCATACCCATAATGCTCTTGGCACGGACACATAATACAGACTTCATCATTCATCCTCCTACTCTGCCATTATAAGCTGTATAGCATAACTCAGTGTGTATTTAAAATGATACTATGTTTGTGTGTTTGCAGTAGGTTTGTGTGTCAGTTGATATAATGGCCATTAGTCAACCATTTTAGTAGTGCACAATGGCACAGAAAGTTCATACTACTTTTGTTTCAGAGCAAAGCAGAATCAAAAGAGCAGCACACACCCAGCTGTACTCACAAAAGAGCATGCACGCAGATGCTAAGGACCAAGAAACCACAAAAGCAGCTGACTAAAAACTAGTTTCGGCTGCTGTGCAAACATATACACAGATGCAAATATTCACACAGAGATACACTGAATACTGACCAGCGAGGCACGCCGTAGCCTGCGGCTCATGGGTTTGTCAAAGGGTGGGCTGTTCATGGCAAACTTCTCCAAGTAGCCCTCTGGTAGCCTGATATCAGCCGGGAGAGACAAGCGTTTGTTTATGTCCTGAAACAGAGAGAAAGGGATTCAAAGGGACAGAGAAAGATGTTGATAAGTGTGTCATGCTGATTTTCTTCTCAAATTGTAACCTTTAACCCTATGAGAGGGACGGCATGTTTAAAAACAACTGTTCATTTACATTGATACATACAGTACTTATATATACTGTAGCTAAATCTAATTTATACCATAATAGCCCACATATAAGATGGCATATCCTTAAATAAATCAAACCAATAGACAATATTTGGCATTTTTTGAATGTGTTGCAACATCAATGCTAACATATTTTTAAGCTCTATGAATGTAAAATAATCTAATTTCTAATCTAGGCTGAGTCAATTAAATACTGTAGAATAAAGTAACATATTTTTAAGCTCTATGAATTTAAAATAATCTAGACTGAGTCAATTAAATACTGTAGAATAAACAAAACAAAAATTTACATTCTGGTCTTTGTTATTATATTTTACATACAACAATCTCAACATTAAGTAGAGTAGACTGACTTCAGTCTGACTTCTTGGCCAGTTAACAGTTCTTTGATGACATTGCTCTTAACTGATCACCATGATCAGGCATCACATGTCTTCCACAAGCCTTTAGTTACTTGGCCTACTTTCATGACCAAAGGGACAAACAAACACAATGAGCTTTCTCCATCCATTAAATAAGAACCATCAGTTTTCAGGTGCTATCTTTGCTCTAGAGAAGAGTAAGACTAGAGTATATTGATGGCAAAGCATAAAGCTTGTTATTTAACATGCTTGATGTTTTTGTCTACTACTCTTCTGCCTAGTGTAGTTATCAGGACATGAGGGATCTCTTTAAGAAGAAACAGCATGTAAAGGGCATTTTGATTAAAATGACCCCATTTTTATGCTTAATTTTGAGAATTTAACACTATCTTGTACTTGGGTTACTAAGGTGTTTTTGTCTTTGCCTGATTTTACAACAAACTACTCCACGTCAGCTGATTATTTTTCTCTGTCTTGTTGGAATGTAATTTGTGTGACACTACTTTTCTCACAATGCATTGTTGGAAAAGTATGTTATCCATGTGTGTTTCTCGAGTCTCTTAAATGAGCATTTATAGGTCCTCGAACTGAGGACGTTCCAAGTCTTTTCTTATATTGGGTCTGAGAAGCAAAGAGGCTGCTGGAGGAGCCGTGAGCGAGGCTACACGAGACCATCCTTCACGGACTTTTTCTATAAACCGATACGCCCCTTTATCAGAAATCACTTGCTGACACTACAGATCAAGGATAGGAGGAAAGGATGTCTCATGATAATAATTTTAATAATGCATTTCCTTGAGTCCTTGCTCCACACATTTTCCTTGCATTTTTTCCTGCCATCTTACAAGGGGGATACTAAAACACAAGGAAAAGACACAAGTGAGGGAAACTGTGGTGCTTATGAGTATGTCCTATAAAGGAGTGTGTCGGTCCATAAAAGACGTCCACAAAGGATCCTCTCATGTATCCTTGCTCATGCAGCCTCCTCACTCTTCAGAGCAGATAAGTTTAAGAGTCTCGGGGCAATCCTCACTCTATCAGAACGACTTCCCGGTTGAACAAGAATCAAAGATTGTGGAGCAATCATATAAGAGACACAGGATGCAGCAATTGTTTCCATGGCAGCAGTGGCTGGTCCAGTCCCAGCAGCACTACAATAGATGTCCTCAATGTGAGTGTGTGAAACTATATGTGTGAATATTAGTGGAAGAATACAGTGGTGTGTGCAAGCCTGAAGATAAAAATCAGAAGGATTTTACATCTGTCATTTGAGCTCACTGGCTAATGTAAGAACATTTACATACAAACCGTTTCCCTAAGAACAGTGACACACTCCAAGTTTTCACACAGTCAAAATGTCAGGCAATGCTCCTCAGACTACATAAGCAAATTATTTAAAAAAAATGCCAAAACCACATTCACTAAAATGACTTTCAGATTTTGACCTGAGAATTTTACACGTTTGTAATCACAAAAGGGTAAAATACCAGAAAGCAGCATAATGCAATCACCAAAGTAAAACCCTCTCCACAAATAAGCATCATATTGTATGCAATTCATAAATCCAGTAACTTCTGATGGCCAAAGCAACACATCTTCTCAGATGTGCACTTTCCACAGTCCTTTTCAAGAGGGCAACAATGGACTCAAGTTCACAAAGACACTGACACTCATGCCTTCAGAGGTACAGATTGAATAAAGACAAACACACACATACACACACGTTCCCATACTCACAATGCAGAACAGCTCTAGTAGCTCCCTCATTGTCCACCTTAAACGTTTCTTTCTGTGCATACACCATCTCTCTTTCAACGATGCATGTCTCTGACCTGCAATTTGACTCCACGCAGAGAGAGAAGCTGGCACCATGATAGTGTGCCATCCACAGGCTCAGAGAAAGAAGAGAAAAAAGAGGAGGAAGGGGAAAGCAGGAGCAGAGGAGAGAGAAATAGACAGATTCCTGAGAGGAAAAAGGCAGATGGGGGAAGGGAGCAGCTGAGAGGACACAGTTTTGTTTTCTGTTCTCTCTCCCACTGTCATTTTGTTCTCCATCTCTCATTCTCCCTCTTCTCATCCCCTCTTTTGTTGTCATACCAATAATTAATCCTACTTCCACAATTACTTTTTCACCCCAGCATTTTCCTCTCCTTCACTGAACCCCTCCGCTCTTCTCTCTCTGTGGTAAACATGCTCTAAATTAGTGCCTTCCACTGTTCACAGCAGTCAGAAGCAGCAGCCTGTGTGTCCAGGAGCATTTCATGTAATACTGCTGAGCTCATCACTCTGCATCTTCTTCAAACAGACACACACATATGCATGCACAGTCAAACTGCATACTCAGGGAAGTAGCAAAAGAAAGCAAAAGAAAGCAACAAATAGCAACGTTACCTGTACTCACATAGCACAAGTGCATTCACACTGACTGAAATCATTGACAATATTACTGTATGTTCAACAGTTCACTACAGTAAATGGTGTGTTTGCCATTTTGTACTGGTGTCCAGATGCCTAGAAAATTGTTATACTGTAATTATTAAGCTAAAATAAATCAGTAACTATAAAATTAAAAACTACCATCATTCCTGCATAGACAGGGGAATAACGTTTGATGATAAAAAAAATGTTATTTTGTGATCTGATACAGCCCAAACAATGGTGTTTTGAGGCCAATACTGATATTTGCAAGTTTAAAACAAAGCTATTTGTAAGAGGAGGAGGTCCAAGATCTACTGTACATAATCCTGCACTATTTTCAATGAAAAGTAGTTAAGGCCTGCTGGAAACGGCACTAGATGTCACTAGATGTCACTAGATGACATCGTGCACTAATCTGCATATTGATGATGTCATATTGTGCTTGCATATCAGTAGCTACTGTATCTATGCAATAGGTGTGCTTTCAATCAGAATGAAAGTCATTCAAACCAACAACATGCATAATCTACAAAAGAGATGTGTGCATATTGTTTTTTATTTTGTTAAATTATAGATTAAAACATTCTCAAAAAACTTGAAGGAGCAGTGTGTGAGATTTAGTGACATCTAGCCATGAGGTCACAGATTGCAGTGTTCAGCAACACTCTCATACATCATTTTAAACAGCCATCTCACAGGGATTACCATAAATGTAGGACAAATTAAACACTTGGAAAACAAGTGTGACTGACTTAAAATGAGAAATTCATGATCTAGAGCCAATGTGTGGTTTGTCCGTTCTGGGCTATTTTAAAAACATGTGACAGGCTCCGCGATAGGGGACCCGCTCCTATGTAGATATAAAAGGCTCATTCTGAGCTAAAGAAAACGCAGCAATCCTCGTTTTTTGATGATTACACATTAATGAAAATATAATTATGCATAATAAATCATTCTAAATCTTACACACTGCATCTTTAATCAAACTAAAGAGAAGTAATGTAACTATAATATAACACTGTCATATACAAAAATCTAAGTTGACCATCTGTAAGTCCAATAATTAATTATGCCATTATGAAAGAGTGCGTTTATATGGAAAAATGAAACACATACAAGCAATTTACATTTATGAGATTAAAAAGAGACTATAGCGTTTTACCTGCATGAATGCCCTTTCACCTGCTGCCTTACTGTTAACTGAAAACTGTATACATGAAAATACAAACCATTTAGTGAGCATCTATTGAATTTTAGAGAAATACCAGAGGATGAAACACCGAGACCTCTGGCATGCACATGCACAGTTCATTCATGTCTCTGTCAGTGACAGCACGGTTGGCTGAATGTTCTGCACCTCTCTTCTCTGTCCCTCACTGACCGGAGTAGAAGCCAAGAGGGACATTCCTACTACGCCCTCGCGGGTGGTCCTGGTGACTCTCCTCTAGAGAAAGTAGCTAACCCTGTAGTCCAATTTCTTATTTATCAGTCAAACATATACCAGTCATAATATATTTGTAATAAGTTAATATCAAGCCATACACAAGCCTGGCTGATTTATCGGCCTAGCTCAACCATCTGACACATTACACAGGTCCTTACATAAGAAGGAGTGAAAAGTGAAGGGCTGAATGTTTCAGACAGAGCCCAAGAATACTTTGGGAGATCCCAATGAATAATTTTGTGTCCAGGTGAGCTTTCTTCTGGTTATACGTATGAAGCCAGTATGTGTGTGCAGCAGGTACATCTTGGCTTCCTGTACCTCATTAGAGATGCGCCGATGATTGTTCCTCATGCGAACCCTGACTGGACTCTGGACCTCATCAGAAGACGTCCCGGATGCCTGGTCGCTCTCCCCGTCAGAGCCCATCTTCACATTCTCATGCACAATGCCTATACAACACAGGCAGACACAGACACACACAGACACAGGCAGACTGTTATTGTCACGAACTGTATTGTGTGATATTGTTCTGGCAGAGAAACCAAACCTGAGCTGAATATTTCATGTTCATCTTTAAAAAAAGATTCTGTACTTTCATTCAAATCAAGTCTTTCAGACTGCTTTTTGTGTTGTCTGACGCTACTAGCCTGCTTTCATTCTCTTCTCCTCCAGTATTACTCTCTCCATGTGCCCATCAGAGGACACAACCTTTAGTCTTACCTAGATTTCATTTCACCCCTCTGTGAAAGCAATAGTAGGGTCCCAGTCCGCATGATATACTATATCATCAGCCATGCTAGAGTGTTAGGCGAGTACGTATAAAATGCCATTTGTAAGATGAGGAGGTCTGAGATCAATATGATCCTGCATCCAGTGGAAGCTTTTCTGTTTTTGCTTGCCACCCCACACATCTCCAACCCCCCCCCCCAGAATCCATCTGGTTAATCATGGTGCTGTAGACAGGGCTGTCTCTTTCAGTGATGAGTGTGTCTGTGTGTGTGAGTAAATTAATGGGGGGGGGGGGGGTTTGGGTCCTGTTAACTCTCAAGTCTGGGCCATGTACAGCACACAGAGTATGTGTGAACATTTGTGTGTGTTTTGTTTGGCATACATTAAAGCTCACTACTATCACTGGTAACATCTCAACCTATCATCATCTACTGTTTACATTACACTGTGAACAGAGGAGAAGGAGACAGCTGGGAGATTAGCAGAAAAAGGATTCGGTGAGAAGAAGTGATACAGAGGAAAGAAAAATATGCCCTTTGAGTGACTGTGACACCGCAGCCATGGGATACAACGACTGAGGGCCAGACAGTTAAAGCTATCTATTATAGTGAGCTATCTGTCAGCTGCGGAGTGGGGCAACACCACCCGAGGCTGATTCTAGGTCATTTGTGTATCTCTCTTTCATGTAGTCAAGGTTATGATTTGAGATAAGCAAGCTGGTCTATATACAGCCCCCGCCTTATGGCTAGCAAATGGAAAATATGGCATATGGACTCAGTGGCTGGTGTATCAGTCAGATCAAGTTAACTAGCTTCTCAGTACATCTTTATTTTGTTCTTATAGCCTATAGTACAAGATGGATTTGTCATAAGGACTTCTAAAAGCACAATATATTATTTTGTACCATTGATGGAATATAAAAACTAAATGCCCATTGTGAATGTAAACCTTCTACAAACCTTTTAAAATCCATCAAAACTGTTTATATTTATATATATATTTACATTTTTTTTATACACTTTATATTTAATTGGTTTAGGCAACCCTGTATTTGAACTGTCCGATATTTTCAACTCCCTCTATAAATCCTAGCTCATTTCCATCCATTACTTTAACTATCTCTTGACAAAAGCAGTATAATGTTCATTTCACACAATTCAAATACAATCCACCTGTGTAAATGCTTAGCAAATTGCTATATAGTCAGTTAAGTCAAGAATCTTAAGTCCCTAAGTCGATGCCTGTGGCCTCAAAACCAAACTCAAGAATACAGTATATGTACAGTACATAAAATAGCCTGGAAGGAACATTAGGCAGCCTGTAGACATAGTACCAAGAATCAAGTCTCACAGCCTTGATGATGGTGCAACATTAAACACAACGCAACTGACACCACAGTCAGGAGAAACTGATCCTAGCTACCAACAGACAAGCACACCTGACCACACACAAGTGATGATCCAGTACTGCTATCATGTCATTTTCAACATTTTCTCAAAGGTCCATGATCTAGTCTGTGTAAACAATCGAGCAGATGCGGGTGTGTGGTGAAGGATGACTAAACTGGGAGGAAACTTCCACCCCCTGGGCCCAAAACAATATCGTTGGTTATTGTTCTGCTAGCACATACAGTATGTGCAATTGTCTCTCACACGCCAGTTTCTCCAACATACTTTCTCGCCTCAAAATAAACACACACTCCCACCCACACGTACTTGCTAATCACACAGGACGTTATTTTCCAGTCTCCTGCAGGTTCCTTCTGCTCCACTTCCAGAGCAGACTAAGAGCAGGCAGCAAATGTCATGAGCTACTACTGCCTCCCTGTGTGGATCCTGGCGGGCCTAGTTAGGGTTGTTGACTCCCTGCTACAATGTCTACAAGAGTGACCAGGCTGCTTTTAGGACTATTGTTACCTCATCCAACTCTGCATGCACTCCATTTAGCTTGAAATCTATCTCTGGCTAGTGGCAGTGTTTCAGAAAATGACTGAAAAGGCATGTGGTGAGATGCAACATAAATATAAGATTCACTTTAAGAGCCCTTCAAAGAGTATGGAAATTCTTGGAATTTTTTTTTTTTTGTCATAAGCCCTCAGTCAACAAGGCCAGACACTGACATCCATTTGCTCAAAGGTTCTCCAGAAGAATTAATATTCACTGTTCACATCCAATGTTTTAACCACTGTTGTTACAAGTATCTGAATATAACTGATTACAATTCTTCATTTTGTTCTTAGATCAGAAGTCTTCAAATTGTTTTTTTACACACATTTTA